TAATTATTTATTTTTTTATTTATAATGATTGAAATTTTGTATTAATGTAGTGTTTAAGAATCATGTAGTCTAAGTGAGTTTCTCTTTATATATATATGGAAGAGGAATTTACATATATATATATATATAAATATGTCTTATACACAATATTTATATAAAATTTAGAGCATTTATTTTTTTACTTTGAGTGGTTGAAATTTATCATATTTTTTAAATTTTAAAAATAATTTTGTTTAATAAATATGATAAAAAGTAAATAAATCTCAATAATAGAAAACAGATATATGAATTATCAAAATTTTATGTAAGCGTGTTATATAAAACTTATATATAAATAAATTTTAATTATCTTGTGTGTGTGTATAGTTAAATTAAATTACACACAAGTTTAATACAATTTTATACACAATCTTAACCGCTCATATAACAACTATAAATGATAAAGATTTATTTATTTTATATTTTATTTTTTTAAAAGTTAATTTTTTTACTCAAAAAATCATGATAAATCTTAATCATTTATAGTAAAAAAATACAAATTCTTTGAACAAATAACTAAGATTTATTTACTTTTTATCTCTATATATTAGAGAGAGAAGTGTTTATCTACTTGAAAAATATAAATTTTTTTATCGAATGATTATAAATGTTTGTTGGAAAATTAATATGCATGATATATATAAATAATCATTAGAAAGTAATATTTTTGAAATTAAAACACTAATTTTTTTTATGAGAATTGGAATTGACATGCATTTTATATATAAATTTGTTAATCCCAAAGCAAATGTATGATATAAAGTGATGGATGTATATATATGTTGTTGCTTTCATATATTATAATTTGGATCAAGGTCATTTTTTGTTTCTGCACTATATATGAGTTAACTTAAAACTCATAATCAATCATTTTAATAAGCTAATTAAAGATTCAAAAAAATTGTTGCATCTGTGAAACTCATTCTTTCTTTTTTGATGGGAGAAACTCAGTCTTTCTTAATCATAAGTATTTTTATTTCACTTGTAATTACTGGTAGTTTCTTGTTTCTTGAATTTACAGTGCACTATATTTTGGAGCAAAGCGCAGTTTTGCGTCCCCTTGAACAAGAAAGTTTTCTGAAATTGAGAAATAAATCTTTTTGATGATATGAACTCGTTAACGTTGTCTCTTGGTAGGTAAGCCCAAAGAGAATTTTTGTTAGGGCTTCTTCTTCCTCTTTTGCTTTCTATCCATTTTTTAGGTTTTAATTTTAGAGAATAGGCTAATTAATAATTATTTGTGATTCTGTTTATATTTCTTGCCTCTTTAAATTTACAAGCCTTCATTAAGTTTGTTGATGCTCCTTTGCGGAATGCCAATAATGTGCTATTCATTAGGACAAATTGATAAAATCACCTAACAAGTTCTTGCATTAGAAATTTATATTTTTTTCTTCTTTCGGAGATTGAATTAATTCAGATTCAATGAATATAGTTGATAAAATCCCAGTTTTTAACAGCCAAGATTCATATTTTTTGTAAATTTCTTGTGTTGTGTCCTATTTGCTGCTCTACCTCTTTCACTACTGAATAAGAATAGAACTTGCTTATACATGTCCAAGTATAGATAGATGAAAAAAAGCTACGGATTGATTTAATTATTTCACGGATTGTTAAGGCTGACATCAATCAGAGCAACAATTTGTCTTGCATATTGATGTTATTGTATATGCTAATTTCATTTTTAATTTATCCATTCACTTATTGTTTAATCGTGCTTAATGCTTTCTTCTGCAAGATCGTAGATATAGGTTTAGGACTTGGGAAGTCTAATGCAATTTGCTGTGAAGTCCATCAAATCTGCTGCCTCTCATTGTCATAAATTAAGGTTTACACAAAATTGTTCTATTTAAAGGAGAGAATCTGACTAGGACTTGTGCCAAGGTGTTATGCAATTCCAAAAAGACTCTTGAAGAAGGTACAAAATCATCTCCAATGAACAGAGATCCTTTCCCTTTCCTGTAGAGGCTTGAGACTTGTTTTTTATGATAGAACAATCCACAATTTCAGAGAACTACTAACTCAAATAATAGTTGCTGCAAATTGTGAAATAGATCTATGTTGCCATTGAGCTATTTCTTTTTTATTTTAGGTTTAAATACCAATTTGGTCCCATAACTTTTAGGATTATAACAAAATTGTCCCTCATCTTTTATAGAATACCAAAATTATCCCTAAACATTAATTTTCAATTACAAAATATTTTTTTTGTTAACAGAAATGCCATGTAACTTGTTACTTTTGCCATAAATCAATTCTTTTTTAAAATATTAATAATGTGTAAAATCAAATAATTATATTTTGCCATTGAGATATATTTCTATTTGTACATTAGATTAATATTTAATCAAAATTGAAAAACTAAGTTGATATTTCTAATTAAAGTTCAAAGATTAAGTTAGAACTTATTTTCAAAGTTTAAGGACCACATTGGTACTATCTTCAAAGTTTGAAAACTATTTTAGTACTAAAAATTAAAATTTAGGGATAATTTTGGAATAAATTTAAAAGTTACGTGATCAAATTAGTATTTTAACCTTTATTTTATTGTTGTTTGGGGGATCAATTTGTTTTTGGTTCAAATGAACGAAGTACAATTTACCATTAATAATATTTCATCTTATTTGATCCTATATCATGAATTATCATTAGTCTGTGCATTTCTTTCATTTATCACTTCAAATTATAATAAATTAGACAACTTTTGCTTCAAATAACAGAAGCTAATTAATGCGGACATCTATACCGAAACTGGTTAAGTGCAAAAAGTTAGTAAAAGTATTCTGATAATTGGATTTTCCTCTCTTTTGTGGTCGGGGGTGGGGATGTTAGATTAGCAGACTATACATAACTAAAAGGAAATAGAATTTATAAAAATTTGAAGTGAAAAAATAAACATTCCGATAAAATGCGATAATCAAGGCTACCAAGCCATTAGTAAGGACATAATCGGACCTATTTTACAACCAAGATTAACATATATTTAGTTCTAAAATTTTGTTCCATAAACTCATAAAAACAATACCCTTTTCATTCTACAATAATAGCCGCAATTTGATTTT